GCCAAGCACGTCGCATGCGGCACAACCACAAAAAACCACAACAGACAACAGCGCTTTACAACCAACTAACGAACAAGACGTAACGCCCTGCAAAATTGTACAATGACGTACATAGGGCAGCGTCAACAAGGAAATGCATCGCACAGACAAGGGATGCGTTTAACTAGCGCGTGACTCACCGGAGGTACGACAAACCGTGACGTGGAAACACTGAAAGCTGACGGCGAGATGCCGACGGCGAGGCGGCCGACGGCGAGGCGGCCGACGGCGAGGCGGCCGACGGCGAGGCGGCCGACGGCGAGGCGGCCGACGGCGAGGCGGCCGACGGCGAGGCGGCGGACGGCCAGGCGGCCGACGGCGAGGCGGCCGACGGCGAGGCGGCCGGCCTAGTTAAACCCTACGGATACGTGTTGTCCTGTTGGAAGTCCTCGCCCAGGCTCGCTCAGACCGGTGGCGGGAACGGGCGGGAGGTGGGCAGGGAAATACACACACAGGCACGTTGTTAACCAGCTAGCAGGGGACGCAACGAGCACAGACTTTGCACAGCAAAACGATATGGGCAGTTGTGCACAAGATGCAGAAACGTACTAAAACGCACACAGGCGGATCGCGGGCAGTTGGGAAGAAACTTTGCTCCGAACGTATGTACGACATCACTACATCACGAACGGACACAAAGTGGCACCCACGCAGTGAACATACGGGGAAAGACCTTCATGCCGTACTCCCTACACGCCGTACCTTGCCAAGGTACAACAATTTCATACCGAAATCCCCCTCCGTCCCAACTCGTCTATCCATGTGCAACACGTCTTGCTCTGTGCTGTCCGGCCATGATCTGCTTTATGATGCAAACAAAAGAAGACTGCACAAGCACGTCGCATGCGGCACAACCACAAAAAACCACAACAGACAACAGCGCTTTACAACCAACTAACGAACAAGACGTAACGCCCTGCAAAATTGTACAATGACGTACATAGGGCAGCGTCAACAAGGAAATGCATCGCACAGACAAGGGATGCGTTTAACTAGCGCGTGACTCACCGGAGGTACGACAAACCGTGACGTGGAAACGCTGAAAGCTGACGCCGAGATGCCGACGACGAGGCGGCCGACGGCAAAGCGGCCGACGGCGAGGTGGCCGACGGCGAGACGTCCATGGCGAGGC